AAAGAAAGAAAGAAAGAAAGAAAGAAAGAAAGAAAGAAAGAAAGAAAGAAAGAAAGAAAGAAAGAAAGAAAGAAAGAAAAAGGTTCTTATGGTACTGCCTGTGATGTTGAGTTCCTCCCTTTGGGTACCATCTTCATTTCATCCCACTAGGCTATAATGTTCCAGGATCAAGATGCCTTTGCAATTTTTCCTTCCATGCTTATCTGGATATCTGGAGATTTTTTGGTGAGCATGAATGGCCAGTAAGAAAGTGCCTTAATTTCTAATGTGGTGGGAAGAACCTAACTGCAGCCTTGAGGATGTGGAGTCACAAGAGGACATCTTACCAGTCAAAAGACATGGCTACCAAGACACACCTGTGGCTTCCTACTTTACAGCTGACTCTCTGTCTAGCGAGTCACGATGTATCTGACTACAAAAGGGGTAGATGTACATAGTACCTTCTTCTCATCCACCTCCCTGCTTATGTCTGCTGGCTACCTACTCCCCCAAATCTTTCTCTCCCAAATTCCCTTCTCCATAAAACACAGCTCTACTCTAGTTGCTTAGGCCAAAATGTAGGAATCATCTTTGGTTCCCTTCTTTTTCTCTCATATCCCATGCCTAATCCTTCAGCAAATGCTGCTCTCACTACAGTTCCAATATGTTCTGAGTCTAACCATCTTTTGTCCCCCATTACCACTCTTAATCACCATCCACACACATGATGCTATGATCTGAATTCTGTGTCTTCCTGAAATTCACATGCTGAAATCTAACCTTCCAAGTTTATGGGCCTTTGAGAGATGATCAGGCCACTAGGACTCCATCTTTGGGAATAGGATTAGTGTCCTCTAAAAGACAGTTGGGGGAGCCTCTTTTGCCCCTCCACCATGTAAGTACATAGATATGTGGAATGGACCCTTACCAGACACTGCGTGTGCTGGGACCTTAACCTTTATACTTCCCAACTACCAGAGCTGTGAGAAATAAGTTTCTGTTCTTTATGCACAACCTCTGGTATTTTGTTAGAGCCATAGGAACAATTTAAGAAATCTGGGTTGTTTCAATAGCCTCATAACTGTTTTTTCTACTTGTGCTGCCACCCCCCAATCACCACCACAGTCTTTGCACAGACTCTGCACATGAAATCATCCATCTCATTCAGAACAAAACCTGAAATTCTTACAACACTCTACAAAGCTCCACCGAATCTCCAACCCCACCCAGTCACGACCTCTCTGAGCTCCTCCTCGTCAATCTTATACAAGCTCCTGAGCTGCCTTCCAGTCACCCAGGAATCACACTGCTTGTTCCAGACAGAAACCTAGGTTCCAGTGTCTGTGCACCGGTAGTGCCCTCTGCTGGACTCCATCCACGCTGCAGGATCTGCTCCTTCATCTTTTAAAGGTCTCTTCTAGATGTCATGGCAACCTTCTGCCACTCTGTCACCTTACCCTGCTTTATTTATCTTCATAGCAATGATCACAAATTGCTGTCTGTTGATTGTCTGTTTCCTCTGTTATATACTCTCTATCCCCAGTAGCTAGAAAAACACAGACACACAGTCAGTACTGACAAACACTTAGGATGACCTGCAAGATAACTAAGTGCAATGACATAGCATTTTGAGGTCACTCAAGTGGCAGAACAACATGTTGTACGTCACAGTGTGCCGGAAACCTTTGGGAATGGCTCAGGCTACGTTCAGACAAACTCGTGGTGGTAAAAATTTTAGGAATAAAATGTCCTAATAGCCTTTATAAAAGAATGACAATATCCACTCAGAAAGACTTCTGAAAAAGAACTCTTGGCTTTCTAAGGACTAAAACAACAGAGGCGAGCCTCTGGGTCGAGGTAGCATGGAATATTCAGCAAGCATGTATCTACTTGTTCCTACATGGAAATCGAAATAAAAATAAAAAAAAAAAAAACCAGCTTTGGGCTGCAGCTAGATTGTAGCAGCCAGATCAGCCCTGAGACAGGACAAAAAGATTTGATGAGTTGTAATATTTTACAAGTCGTTTCTGATTAGAAAACTTGTTTAAAAATCTATGGAAAAAAGGGAAACTTTTTTCAGTTCCTTAGTACTTAGAAATGTTTAGAGATAAGGATAGTATTTAAATCTTTGAGATGTGTAAAATTGTGTTCAGCAGCATTAGCAGCCAGATCAGCCCTGAGACAGGACAAAAAGATTTGATGAGTTGTAATATTTTACAAGTCGTTTCTGATTAGAAAACTTGTTTAAAAATCTATGGAAAAAAGGGAAACTTTTTTCAGTTCCTTAGTACTTAGAAATGTTTAGAGATAAGGATAGTATTTAAATCTTTGAGATGTGTAAAATTGTGTTCAGCAGCATTTTTAGACAAGGCATTAAGAATACTTTAACAAGTTTGTCCACTGCATTAATTTTAATTATACTCCACTGGACTCACAATGCTTTGAAATGCCTTATAAAATGCCCTCGAGATATTTTATTAATAATATACAGGCACCACCAAATGATGCTTCTGACTCTGGGTAGCAGCAGCTTGCCTGAGAGCGCCCTCTTCTGTTTCAGGAGTGTACTGCAAATCACATTTCTTCACAGCAATTCTGGGCAGAACAAAGAGGGTTTCTTAGCAATATGTCAACACACACAAACACATTTTCTTTTGTTGTTGTTGGTTTTGTTTGTTTGTTTGTTTGTTTGTTTGCTTGTTTGCTTGCTTGCTTGCTTGCTTGTTTGCTTGCTTGAGACAGGGTCTCAATGTAGACCCAATGGCCTGGAACTCACTATATAGACCAGGCTGGCCTTGATCTCACAGAGATCTGCCTGCCTCTGACTCCCCAGAGCTGGGATTAAAGAAGTGCACCACAATGCCCAGCATTGCATCATTTTTTAAAGCTGGATTTCCTCTTGAGGTCTGGAAGGCTATGCTGGTATACATACATGAAAGGTAAGTGGCTAGTCTCAAAATGGGGTGGCGGTTTTCCTTTCCTCTCCAGAAATTCTCATGGAAATAAACTTTAATCCTTCAAATCACAGGCAATTATCATTTTAGCTGCACAATATTACTTACCACTTTATTTGTGGAACTTTTTGTAATTCAACTATTTGCTTCCTAACCAGCAACTATCTTTTTTTAAAATTATGGTTTAGGGATGTATCTTAGTGGTAGAGTGCTTGCCTAGTATGTGAAAGACCCTGGCTTCAGTCACCACCACCCAAAAAGTTAATTATAGCCAAATTCATAGTTCAATACCAGTTGTAAGCAGAAAGTGATTAATATGCTTAAAATAAGAAAAAAAATCGTTGTTTCTTGTAGCCCAGGGAAATATGCAGGTCATTGGGTTGAACTCATGAAATGCCCGTCAGGAATGACACACACTGGTGAATGCCAACATGTCATCAAATACACATAGCCCTATACTGGAACCCTGGGCTAAGATTAGAGCAAAAGGTTCTGAGAATGGAGTAGCTGCTCCCAAGGAAGGGGAGGGGCTAGAAAAGAACACAAAGGACCTTGAGTCAACACAAAGGGGGTGGGGCAGACTAGGTGGAGTTGAAACCAGAAAGAACTGATGGAGGAAGGACTAAAACAATGCTCCAGAGCCTAGCTCCTATGAAGGGCCAGTGCAGGCTGTTTTCATTTTTTACCTGTTTTACATGTGGAGATCATAGGACAACTTGGGGAGTTATTTCTCTCTTCCATTGCGTGGGTCCCAAGGATAGAACTCAGGTCATCAGGCTTCGCAGCAAGCACCTTTACCAAATGAACCATCTTGTCAGCCCTCAGGTACAGCTTTGAAATATTACCTTTAGCAGCTAAATAAAATTTTAATTCATCAAATGTCCACTTTCTTATAAAATGGAAGGTTCAGAGGTTTGTTTCCTGGGGTCGGTTTCAGCACTGAATCGCCTTGCTGTCTGCTGTGGCCCTAACCAGACCCCACCCCTCCTCTCAAGCCTCATCTAAAATATTTTCTGTACCAATTGTGTAAAAATGGTTTTCTAAACTTTAAAAACTTTGTTTTTAAACAGTACACTGTTTATAAATTACTACAAGTGGCCAAAGTTGTACAATTTCATTCTCCTGTGGCCAAAGTTTGTCCTATAGTCAAGAAAAATGGTGGGACTGGTGAGATGGCTTCTAGGTAAAGGCACTTCCCACCAAACCTGATTACTTGAGTTCAATCACACACACACACACACACACACACACACACTAAATAAATAAATGATAATAAAATAAATCTTTTTAAAAATCATCTTTTATAATGTGGTTAATTAGAGTTCAATAATTGTCTTTTTCCAGGCTATGCCAAAATGCCATGTTTGGTGACTTTAATAGTGAAGTCATATGCACACACCTGTCCAAGAGTCAGTCAGTTGTTTAAAGTTATTGAAACTGATTTCAAAGCTTAAAAAAAAAATAAAATAAAAAGCCCCAGGCCTTGTAGAAGGTATAAGTCCACGGCACAGCAAGAACTATTTGAAATACATCTTTAATTTTACAAAAATCAATATGCAATCTACAAAACACTTTGTTACATGATTATTAAAGTTCAGTCGTTCTATATCTGTAATGAGAGGACACAAAGTCATATTTTGAATAAAACATTGCAGTGGTCGTTGTTAAGGAAAATCTTCTAACTGAATTTATTAGAAAAGGGCTATATCATAAACATAGCTCCCAAATGATAGGCACTAAGCTAGTACTCTCTAGTCTACATAGCAGGTCTGAAATTCAGTCTAGCCTTCCTGTGCTGGAAACTATCACTTTCATACCTTTTTTAATGGATGAAACTGTTGCAGTTCCCACAGATAAAGGAAACATTCTTACACTCAGACCTGCATAACTGATTGTGAATGATCAACCCATGCACTCATCAACACTATTAACATGACCCTGTGATTGTCAAGGTGAAGAGGCCAGAGCATTGAAACCACAAGGACATTACATACTAGTTGTGTCCTGGCAGTCAGACATGGTGTCAATCAACAGACTCCAAAACGGTCCAACTCATAAAGAAGTCGTCTAAATGAAAAAGTTAGAAAAGAAGCATTTCTTCTTGAATTCTTTCCTTCCCTCCCTCCCTCCTTTCCTTAAAAGCAGGAGCTTTTTGAAAGATTATCATTTGCTTTCCGACAAGGAGATTCTACTTTTACTTTGTAAGCCTAAATGGGCAATTTTCCACTTAGAGTTCAGTCGTCACATTTGACCTCCTACCATTTCTAAGGTCAGAAGAACTGTATTTTTAAAAAAACACTCTCATCCCTAATGTTCATTTAACACTAAGTAATGAATATTTAAGGTCCTAATAGATGTGCAAATTAACAATTATGCAGTAGCACCCGCTGTTAATGCTATCAAATTCGAGTTGCTGCAGAATCTCAATTTGGGCTTCTGTCAGTCTTTTGTTACTGTGGTCTCAACACTGAATCTTGAAATGGTCATAAAGGCTGGGTGACTTGTGGGTTAAAGAACCAGTAGTGACACCTAAGACACTGGCCAAACTGAAAGGCAAAGGGGTAATTCATTGAGTCTTTTGTGGGGTGTTTTTTTTTTTTTTTTTGAGGTATGAATATTCATTAAGGTCAACTGAATCCACTGTGAGTTCTTTATGGGCAGAATGCCATAAAATGCCTCAGAGAGGAAGGTGTAATTAACCCAGCTAACTTCCCTGGGATTTCAGGACAGTATCAAATGTAGCCCATCTCCATATTTGTTCCAAACACACTGAAGTCAAAGTGTGCCCATACTAATGAAAAGGAAAGGTGGTGGGATTTTTAGAAAACACACACGCATATGTGCGTGTACTTAAATATTAGCCTGGGCACCAACCGCAGATGATAATGCATCAAGCAAAGTTTAAAAAGAGCAAAACCAACCCATTTTTAGCACCAACTTTTGTATTCTTTGCCTCCACAGTAAGAAAAGAAAATTTGCTGATTGATACAGACTATCATAAATGTTTATTTTAATCTGCTACTTGAATAAATGAAAATAATTGTAATACTAGTAAAATGTCCTAAATAAACTCTGTGGGCCATTAAATAAATGTGGTTTGGAACAACACTATGTCAGTTTTGACTCAAAACAAATCTAGTAAATAGAGAATGCCTCCCAATCACATTTAAGATTTAATATAAATTGAATGTATAGTAACACTGCATGGAGAAGCTTGTTTTTCAAACAAACAAACAAACACAAATACTCAGAACATAATGAGTTTTAGCTAACTACCAAGAGGAAACAGTAGGCAAATCATAACCATTAATGGGATTAGTTTTTCACTAGAAACTGAACTGGTAATATCATTTCTCTGACTTTAAAGAGTAAATCTTTCTTCTTTTAGAAATCTGGGTAGAATAGTCTAATGTCTTTCACCTCACTCACCTTCTAAAGGAAAATAGTCTAAATAAAGCAGGATTTGCACAAAATCGCATGGTGAGCGCCCCAGCATACAACAGCATGTTAGACGTGTACTAAGAGCAGTGCATTAGGCACAAGTAATGCCGTTTCAGAACACAATCTTGGAGTTGGCACTTTCAGAAAACAATGATCATAAGCCTTAAAAATCCATCTTTAATATACATAAATTTTTAATTTGTATCCAATTCTGGTTTTATTTTAAAGGCATTCCACCCACCTAAAGGTATATCTCTGACTCGTTCTAAAATATATATATATATATACTAACAGAAATAGTTTCTTTGACACACAAATCAGAATACAAATACATTTTGAAATGATCCCACATCGAGGGAAAGATGGCTACCTTAATGCAGCCAAGGAGAGCTTCCCAGCACTGTCAGGGGACAGGAATATAAATAATTCAAAGCCACAGACACTTCCAAATCTTGACCACAACCTGTGCATTCAACATCATTCTTCAACTAACCTCGTTTCAAAGCTGAGCAGGAGAGGAAAAGAGGCGTTTGGGTTTACGTATCCTTTGGTTGCCTTTCCTGGTGGTCTGGGAAAGCAGGAAGAGATTTGGTCTTGGGGATAATAAATATGACTCTCTGGTAACCCAGAGTCCAAAACAAAGCCACTGAGTAATCAAAACTAAAAAACCCTTCAGCCAAACTGGCCATCAGGTCACACATTGGATAACAGTGCCTTTGAGTCTCATTAAGAAGCAAAATATCACAGGAGTTACACATTCCAGCTCAAATCCCTAGGGCAAAAACATATCAGAAACAAAAGCATACAGATGGCTTGGATTTCGGTCTGCATTTCTCTAGACATGGCCATTGGATCTGTCTGAAGCCTGCTACTCAGAACTTAGAACCATCATATGGGGCAGCAGAATTTTCTACGGAGTCTGTGGATCACGTGGTTGACTAGCCGGTCACCGTTTACTGAGTCATGCAGTCACCAGCTTTATCTGGGTCTTCTCCATCAATCTGAATCCACTTCTTTTCTATTTCAACCTGTTAGGTGAAAACAAAACATGAGCAACGTTAGCAGATAGCAGCATGCACTGATACCTCCTCAGTCAGATTCATATCCAACGAGACACTAGCCACCTCGCCCTGGGGACACAAACTCAGCCCCACCCTCCCACACCAGCTCAGTCATGAAGCACTTTCCTCTATCTTTGGGGAACCAAACCCCCAGTCTTTCCCTCTGGAATAAAATCTAAAACTAAAATCATAGTTTCACCGTAATTTTCACTATAAACATGCTTCTAAAATATAAATTCATTTTAAATTTCAGATACAAAATACTTGGTGGTAAGACATTTACAGATCTGGCTAGACATGTAATTGGTTATCCCCCGACACATCATCTAGCCAGCCACGGTCCTGAGAGTTGTAACACACTCAAAGCCACCTAACTGTAACAAATGGGTTTACAAACTAGTGCCCAACTGATTCAAACCGGCTATTCTTCCTTCACGTTTTTCTATCTCACCTCAAATGTCACTTCACATAGGCCCTTCTGGACCACAGCAGCCACCTGTCACTCTAACCTGTTACTTTATTTACTGTTTACTTTTAGAACAGCTGAAATTACACTATTTGTTTGTTCAGTAAGTTTCATGTCCCCAGCCACACACTAGAAGCCCTGTTAGGATAGGCATCGTGTCCTCATCCTCACCACACAGTGTCTCCCCATCTCCAGCAGGACCTGGCACTGCAATGCCACCCTACAGACACTTGTTAAATGGAAAACAGAATTCTGAAACTGCCACCAGCAGCAGATTAGACAGTGAATTTTATCAAAGCTGAAGATACTCTGTTATGGAACTCTGAGCAGTCTACTAAGACTGGGCGCAGGCACAGCCCGTAAATAGGAACACAGGCGTCAAGTGACGACTGCGAGCCTTTGGCCTTCCTTTAGTCAGGTACTATACTGAATATACTTAAATAGCCAAGAAGCAAACTCTGAGATGGAGGGTACTGTGTGGAAAGTTCCCTGGAGAAGCTGTTGGCCCACATCCTCTGAGGAGGGAAGCAGGGGAAGATGCAGAATGTGGAGGAGGGACACCAACTACAATGCAGTCAGCATAAAGACATGAGCCATGCCTGGGAGGCTGATACTGGATGGTCCTACAGAGTGAGTCCAGGTGGACACCCAAGGGTCCTTAAATGGCTGTGTTTCCCCATCACTGAAGCAGGCTACCCAGGTTTGGGCATGACCACGGGCAAGGCTACTTTCTTCTGAAGTACAGTTACCAGTTTCTTGGAAGGGGGGGGCACTTTGATGCAGAAGGAAGGGCCCGGTACACCAGCCACACCTCACCAACTTTATCAGTAGGAAAATAAATTGTTGGGTTCACACATACAGACTTCTCAACAGATGTCCAAAGAGAAGAAAAATTCTGACTTGTATCCTTGTATCATTGAACCACTGATATTTTATATAATTAATACTATTTTTAATAAGAATAAATGAGTTTAGATGAGTTTAAAATCAGAATGACATTGATCACAGCAGAGATTGAAATATCAGGTGGGCTACTAGAGAGTACAATGTTGGGCTGAGGGTATAGCTCAGTGCTAAAGCACTTCCAAAGCCAGAGGAAGACTCTGGGTTTAATCCCCAGTACCACACCCAAAACATATAAATGTTGCTCATATACAAAAGAAAACATAGAGTAAACCACCTGTTGATTGTGAACTATTCGATTTCTGTGATCTGTGAAACATGATAGTAGTTAAATAATAATATATATAAAAATAATTTTTAAAAATTTTTGGTTTTAAATTTTTTAAGTTATTTTTATTTAATGTATGTAAGTATTTGGTCTGCATGTATGTACATGCACTCATGTGTGCAATGCTCATGGAAGCCAGAAGAGAGCATCAGATCTCCTGGAACTGGAGTTGTCAGCTGTCATGTGGATGCTGGGAACCCGAACCCACGTCCTCTGCAAGAGCAGCCAGTGCTCTTAACTGCTGAGCCATCTCTCCAGCTCCTTTTTTGTTTTGTTTTTTTTGTTTTGTTTTGTTTTGTATGTTTGTTTGTTTTTGGTGTTTTGTTTTGTTTTGTCTGAGGCAAGATCTCCCAGCTGACTTGAAACTTGCACATAGGACAGGCTGGCCTCCATCTCACAAAGATCCACCTATCTCTGCCTCCAGAGTGCTGGAGCTAAAAGCATGCACCACCATGCCCAGCCATTAAAAAATAGTTTTAAAGAAAACTAAACAACAGGCTAGATATGGTGGTATGTGCCTGTAACCCCAGCACTTGGTCGGGGAGCTAAGGCAGGAAGATTGCTACAAGTTCAAGAACAGCCTGGACTACATAACAAGTACAAAGCCAGCCAGATCTACACAGCAAGACCTTGTCTCAAAAAACTCAAATACAGGACAAACAAACAAAAACATATGACACCATTTTACCATTTCTAGATACTACAGAAAATATGTACAGACATCCTCCATGTTTCTACTAACTTTGAAGAACAAAAAGTTAAGGAACAGATTGTAAGTATGTGTCACTCTAATTCATCTGGATTGGATGCAGAACTGACAGTGAACATTTACAACTCATAATACTGAAACTCAGCAGTTAACAAGGATGCACCACAAGACATGGATGTGGCTTTTAGACACAGATACCCACCAGACAAGACCCCAAGTCAATGAATCGGAGAAAACAATGTTAAGTAAGTTTAGCAAGAAGGCCAGGCGTAGTGGCACATGCCTTTAATCCCAGCAGAGGGAGACAGAGGCAGGCAGATCTCTGTGAGTTCAAGGCCAGCCTGGTCTACACAACAAGTTCCAGGCCAGCTGAGGCTACAGGGAGACCCTGTCTCAAAAAGACCAAAAACAAGAAAGGAAACTTAGCAATTTCCTCTGCTGCAGAACTTCTCAGCGACTTCATGTAGCATTTATTTAGTGCATAGTATTTTTCCTGGATCATTATATGAAACACATGATCCACAGAATATGTTTTAGGAAATGCTATTGTATCATAATTTATATTATAAATGTACTTCTAACATATAAATTTATTCTTATCCTGGTTTTCATTGAAAATGATATGACATGTTCCTTGTAGACTCCAGAGTTTAGGAGAATGATTGAGCTCAATGGTGACCATTGAGCTCCCATGGCTGGGCCGAGCTCTGAACCCATCCCTAGTCAATATCAGAGAGAGAGAGAGAGAGAGAGAGAGAGAGAGAGGGCAAAGCAGTACATAAAGCCAGGCCAGGCCAGGCCTCAGATCTGGAATCCCTAACTTGAACCCAGGGCCCCTGGGATACCTGGATATTATAGCAAGCTCGCTGACATGTGTGCTTCTGTGGCTGGACATCACTCTCCACTCCCAGAGACCTGACCTCCATCCCTGAGGCACAGGCTTCAGGCATTGAAAACTGCACAGTAGCAAATGGATACCAGTCTGAGGGAATCTCTTGGTCTGATCCAAGTTCTAGTTTGTATGACAGACAGTGGGGATGATCAGGACCTGGAGGAAACCAAATCAAATGGTCAGACTATTTCAATGGCCACAGAACAGTCTTAAACACAAAAGGCACTGGCTTCTCACTGTAATAAGCAATTCCATTTGTACTACGGCAGGAAAATTCCACTTAAACAGCATACCACCAAATCTACAACTGTGTATCAAGTAGGAAGACTCCACAGGCATTTTTTTAAAGTCCTCCCTGTACAAAAAAAGATAATCCTATTGCTACATACCTACACAGATAATTCCTACGGCTTTAATCACAAATATTACAAATGTTCTCTAATTAAAAGATAAGAGCAATGTTTATATGAAACATAATCATTTGGCCATAATGTATGTTAGCCCCCTAGAAACCCCTTTCTTCTAAGAACACTGAATAAATAATAACTCCTCAATCACTTTACCAGGGTTTATTTTAAGAGATTGCAAAGGTAAACTTCAAGTTAGGTCATATGGTTTTAAAGGCTTGACTTTTAAAATATTTTTTGATTTACTTTATTTGTTTTTTTAATGTGTGTGAGTGTATTGTCTCCAATGTGTGTAAATGCATCCATGTCATGTACTGCCTGAAGAAGTCAGAAGAGGACATTGGATCCCCTGGAACTGGAGTTTGGGATGGTTGTTAGTCACCATGTGGGTGCTGGGAATCTAACCTGAGTTCTCTTCAAGAACAGCCAGTGCTCTTAACCTCTGAGCCATCTCTCCAGCCCCTTAAAAATCTAACATTTTAAAGTTAGACTTGAAGTGTTATTACTTTTCAGAAATTATTCTAATCCAATGCTATTTTTTCCAGGAGAACAGATTATTTTTCACTACTGTTAATTCCCATTCATACTCCTGAAAACTTCGACTGGGACAGATGTACAGAATGAAGATGGGCTTCAATGCTTCAATCCAATACCTGTTCTCACTGAATTTGTCACTTACAGGCTTCTACACCACACTAGGCTGGGCTCTGTGCAGACTCAGCAGGCACACAAGGGAGGAAAGTAATAAATTCAACCCACTCTACCACTGCTATATACTACTGCCCCAGATGATGGTCTATCCTCACAACAACCTGGTAGTGTTCTGGTCATTATGACCCTCACTGGGGAAATTCAGACTCAGAGAGGTAGGAATCACAGTGTGTATGTGGTGTGTGTGTGGGGGGGGGTGTTTTAATATATTAAAAAATTTGGAGCCCATCTGTAATTTTAGTACTTAAGAGGCAGTGACAGGAGGATTGAGAATTCAAGGTGTCATTTACCGCGACATAATGAGTCTGAGGCTAGTCAGGGCTACATGAGACTGTGTCTCAAAAACAAAAAAATAAATTAGAGGGTTGGAGAGAAGGCTTGGTTAGCAGTGCATACTGCTCTTGAAGGACCCAAGTTCAGTTCCCAGCACCCATGTGAGGCAGCTCACGTTGCCTGTAACTCTAGCTCCAGGGATCCAAAGCCCTTCTGGCCTTCTCAGATATCACATACAGAAAACCACACATAATTAAAAATACATACTTTTTAAAAACAGTAAATTTTCTGTGTATATATATGGTTGTTTGTGAATGTCACTGCAGTGATGTCACAAATGTCCTATGATCCCATCACATTGATCATTGCATCTAATCATATCCAGTATGGCTCTCTTTAAATAAATGTATGAGATCACAGCAATTTCAAAACCCAGATTAAAGCTGGGAGTGGTGGCACACCCCATTAATCCAGTGCTCGGGAGGCAGAGGCAGGGGGATCTCTGTGAGATGGAGGCCAGTCTGGTCTACATAGCAAGTTCCAGACCAGTCAGGAATGCATAGTGAGACCCTGTCTCAAAGAAAAAAAAAATGACTGTACCTCTGATACAGCGCATGAAAGAACATTTTCATTTTCATCAGAGTTTAAAAGAGTTTGCTTAAATGTATCTTAAAAGATAGATTGCCTTTCATTCCTTACAACCTGTTTCTTGTAGAGATACTAATCGAATTCTGAAACTATGAAAGATCATCAATCAATTAGCCAAAAGGCACTCCCACTACAGCAGTTACACAGAGGCTAGGACAGCATAGTCTCTGAGGGGTAAGCTACCCACACCATGGAGACAAGGGACCCCCCCCCACACACACACACACACGGGGTGGGAGTATTCAGAGAGATTCCACAATCCAGTAATCTGCCTAGACTTGGACTGAGGCCAGAATGAAAATGCAATAAATTCTCTTACACTTAATCCAAAAGCCTCTCCCTTCTAGGGAAGTTAACCACCTTTCTGAGCCTCAGTTTCTCCAGCGAGGGTCACGAGGATAAACAAACCAACCAGCTGGGGCAGTGGAACACAGCAATACACAGCGATACACAGTGGTGCACAGCGAATGCAGCAGTGCACAGAGGAACGTAGTGAAACACAGTGGTACATTGCGATACATGAGAGATAGATTTGCTACCAGAATCTCACACTCCACACTCAAGACGCATTCTAATTCTGCAGCCCTTATACTTTCCCACAGCTGAACTCACTACTTTGCCAAGTGCTATTTGATTTTAAATTCACTGTATCTAATTACTATAATTTTGCCAGTAAAGAACTATGAATTCAACTTAGACTTGAGAAATGATACTGAAGATTATTTTATATTCACGTTTTATAGGGAAAAATAGGGAATGTTTCACAGTGAAAACTGGAAAAAATTAAAAACTGAGTTGAAGCCTAGTGCTTTAAAAAATGATAGGAACAAAACCTTTCTATTTTTCAAGTTACGTCTTTTTTCCCCAGCGTCTAGAAACTCTGAACGCTAGCAGTATTTACTAACACTCTTCTTTAGGTTCTGAACTGCGGGAGAGCAGGTTACCATATGCATCCCTGGTGCAGCGTTTGGGCCCTAGTAGATAAACTTGCCAAATTTAACAGTGACAAAAGATAGAGGCGAATCCTGTTATCTCTGTACTGACCACGAGGGGACACTGTCGGGCTTTAGTAGTTCTTCTTCCCCCTTAACTCTGCTTAGGAGAGAAATGCAAACCACAAAATCTTCTTAGGTCTGGTTGATAGCCAATCCCTCATAAAGCAAAATATTTCATATCTGAATCTGAACTACTGAGAGCTGAAGACAATGGATTGTGGGAGGATGGGCACGTGGAGAGAGAAAGAACAGCTGAGATGCTGACGACAGCTAAGAACTTAGGGAAGCAAGATGGGGCTGCGGCCTGAGCCTGCACTCTCCACGCTCCTTCTCTTTCAAATTCTGCACTGTTTACGCCTCCCTCATGGCTATCCAGGGACCTTCTGTCCTGGTTATCGTTCTTACTCACTCTTCCTCTAGATCACTGAGCTGTTCCTTTTTCAATTTGCATTCATTCTAGCACAACATGGAGCATGGAGAGGAGTTAGGGGCAGATTTGGAGGAATCTAAATGGATACAATCATTCATTTTATTTAGTCAAAACTTTTCTGAGTACTGTCTACCAAGTGCTGCAGGTAAAAATGAGCAAGTTCTGATCCTCATCTCCACACCCAGTTCCCCCGGTCCTTCAGGGGATGTTCAGCTGCTCTTGGGCTTCTCCACACTGTGGATGTTATTGGAGATGACCCTACAGCAGGTGTTTCACAAACTGGCCGTATGGTTAGAATAGCCTGAGAGCTTTTAAATAACTTCAGTGTTCAGATCCCATTGCATGAAGAATGAATAGAATCCCTGGGGGAGGGAGCCAGATCCTAATACGTTTGAAGCACTCCCCAAGTGAACCTTATGTGCTCCCAGGATGAGGAATACTTCCTTACAGGCACTGAATGACCTAGGCAGGAAGAGCAGGCCCAGCCTACTATGCACTGCTTCCTGGACTGGTCCTTGGCCATGACTTACAATTTGCTGGTGTAACCTGTCTGTTTTAACTACAGACAGGACCCAGGACCCAGCAGGTACCAGACACAGACTTGGTGGGCTGAGAGACCTAAGTAACCTGTGGAGAAACGAAGTTTCCAACCCGTAGTCCTTCCAAACACTTTACACACTCTCTCACTCATGCCACATCCCACCTCAGTGTTCTTGTGACTCAGATCCACCACAGTTCTGTCCCCACAACAGCTAGGATAGCTCAAGACGGGGCTATGTGGTGCTGGGTTAGCCTGGTCACAACAGATGACCTCTAATGGCACCTGCTGCTCAGCTCCCATATGATGTGTAGGTCAGTGACATACGGCATAATTCACAGAGATCATGCATCCTATTGTTGCTGATAAGGAGGCTGCTGAGGCCAGTTAAATCATTCTAATTATCTTCACATAACAGAAGCAAGTTTGGAGGTCTAGTACCATGCTCCCAAAGATACATTTTTGAAATCTACTTGTGCTACTCTTTATCTCAGAAGATTAGACAAAATCAGAATAGTGGCTCTTATTTTCATAAAGCAAACAGGAAAGACAGGACAGAAGGAGGGTGGGTATATGTATTGGAACCTCCAAGACCCAGAGACTGTCCCCTGAGGGCTGAGTGACATCCTGACTCCACTGACTCTGAGAGAGGAGAGAAAAGGCTGAGTCTGCAAGCTTGGACAGATGAGGTGAGGCAGGACGAGCCCTTGGGACCCGCTCCTAAGGCTCACCTGGGGTAAAGACTCTAGGAAGCCACAAAGAACTCAGACCTCAGTGGACCTGGCTAGAGAAACCCCACTTTTGTCAAGTTGAGACCCCATATAAACTGTTTTTTTTAATATTTTATTATTTTTATTTTATGTGTATGCGTATATTGCCTGCATGTATGTAAGTGCACCCGTGTCCTACAATGCCTGTGGAGGACAGAAGAGGCTGTTGGATCCCCTGGAACTGTAGTTATGGACAGTTGTTAGCTGCCATATGGGTGTTGGGATTCAAACCTGGGTCTTCTATAAGAACAGCCAGTGTCCTTAACCACTGAGCCATCTCTCCAGCCCTTCAACTATCTTTTGTAACGAAAATGGAATAGCATGTAAAATTTCTTGTGAAAATGATCCTATTGATAGCACTGGGTTTTCTGAGAATTCATGATACAAACTGACTTGATCAGCCAGAATGTACTGAGAGGGCAACTCCTCCACTCCTTCAGTCCATAAACTTGCACAAAACATTTCCTCCAGGAAATCCCATTCTGCTCTGTGCTAGGGAGATGCAGACACAAATATGACCCCTGCTCCCCAGAAACAGAACCATCTAGCAGGTCTGTTAGAACGTCCCAGAAGGAGTTGCCCAGATGCACCATGGTGATTGCTCTGTCCAGCCCCCACACACATGAGCAACACAAAAAACAGAGTTTAGAGAATGGGATGATCTCCCACTCAGGAGCCAGGAAAGAGTTTTCCTCCCTTCCTCTCCCTTCCTCCCTCATCCCTCCCTCCATTCATTCCAATAACATCCCTTAGTATTGCCATCTACAGCAAATCTCTAAGCTAGGATGGCATTTCTTGCAATGTTAAAAACATGGAAAAAGTTAAACTCATCTGGTAGAAATGGGCTCCCAAGAGAAAACAAATAAACCAGCTGTTTGGATAAATGTTCTGTCTCCCACCAGGCTGCGTAAGCATGCCCTCAGCTCTCATGTTACCATTTGCCTCTGCCTGCTTTCAGCCCAAGGAGGTGAGTGAAAACATTAAGCCATTTCCTATGAAAATCAACCAACTGTTGGATATTTACTTGAGTTTTTATCAGGAAGCCGATCTATCTTCCACACCACGGCCCGGTAGGCACTCTCATATTTTGCTGACCCCACAGTGACCTGAATGACAGGTTCTGTCTCAAGTTCATGTAAATTCCCCAGACATGACCTGCGGTTCATTTTGGCTTTTAGAGACCTCTGCCTCTGAAGGTTCCTGGTCCAGGGGACCTTTATCCACTGTGATGGAACAGGAAAGTGAATCATAATATTGTCACAGCACCTCAAGGAAGGAACATGGGGTGACCTTTGAGCCCCCAGAGTCATGTTGACAAAGGCCTGAAGTTCCACATAGGCCCCCTGGACAACCACTACAGACTTCACAGAAAAGGGAAGGTCATCCCCATCATACAAGGTCTTAAAACGCATCAGTTCAAACCGGCAGGCATCCAGAGGTACGAATTTAATGATTCTAGATTGCTCGAATTCTTCGGCTTTCACACACTTGTGAAAATGGTAATCAAGAATATCAATCCCCTTCTTTTCTGGTTCTCTCTCAAAATAACATTCATCTCGCTTCTGGAGCTCGAGGTCGTTCAAAGTTAAAAAACAGTCCATGGTCCCATTCACAAAGCAGAGGCAACAGATTTGAGTGATCACAGTACTTTCCACCAATTTCCCATCTTCTTTTGTGACTTTCCCCCAAAAGTTGTCCACGACATCCAGGTAAATTTCTTGCTCCTCGTAGTTCTTCCTTGGTTTTGAAACAGCCGGCAGCTTTACCAGCTCTTCCTCCACAGTAGTCAGGAATTCCAGGAAGTCTCGGTGCTCCGTGGACCCCAACTTCAGCATCTGCTCTACCTCTGGCTCGTGAACTACTTCCGTCTTGGAATGGTATTTCCTTTTCTCCGAGTAAGACACATGTTCCACCTTCACAGTGTGGATTTTTCCTGCCATGCTGAAATTCTCAACTTTGGGTTCAGAAAGTCTGCAATGTGGGTCAAGCTGGAACTCTTTGAACGGCTTCTCCAACCCCTGTTCATAATACATTTGCAAAATTCCTCCTGGTAGAACCCTCAGGAAAATCGGTCCCCACTGCCGGGAAGACATCATGTTCTTCTTCTCCGGGATCCTCAGCATGAAGGACCATCCGGCGTTGGGCTGACTCCGGAAGAGTGTTTGGGGCACGAAGGAAGAGACGGCATCTCCAGCATACGGATCCTGCATTGACAAATTTCCAAGAGGGTCCTGGGTCTCCACTGACTGGAGATGTTCAAGCTTCTCGCAGATGTAGCTGAGTGAACATTGGTTTAGGCTCTTTTGATCAGCAAGTGTCTCCTTGTCTCTTGGTGAGAATGGCTTTCTGCTTGTCAGGGTGTCAGAGGTGAACTGAGAAGCACTGACTTTTTCTTTCCAAAATGGGTTGGAAAAAGCACAGTCGTCCTGAAAATACTGGAAGTGCTCACTTTGGTCCTGTGGGCTCTCAGCCTGCTGAGGACTGGTGTCATCTGAAAGCCCGGCTTTGGGAGTCAACTGAGTACTTGAGTGGTCATTGGGTGGCAACGTGTGGGGTAAACAGGTTGGCTTCGTGGGCAGTAATGAGGAACCTGCTCCTGCTGCTGTGAGGGGACTGCTTGAAGAGCATTCTGGAATAGGATAAAGCACATGGGTCCCTGCTTTAGGAATTCCAGGAAAACCTGGGAAGTCTTTGGTGGGTGTGGAAAGAGGAGAATTACTTGGTGGTCCTGGACTGAAGTAAAAATCCACGATGGGAGAGGAGAGAGGGGTGCTGCTGGAAGACGAGGATGTGCTGGGAAGTTCCTTAAGGCCTGGCAGGTTCAACTTCAGTCTGTTTGGTCTGCAAACACCTTGGGTCTCCATAGGGAAGTCCTTTGACCTCTGAGAAGACTGAAAGGTAGGGTCATCATCAAAGGTGACCCAGCTGCCTGGGTTTGTAGAGTACATCTTCAGGGTTGGGTGTGGTCTGGCCAAAGAATCAGACACACTGTCTCTGTTAAAGGAGGAAGAAAAAAATACATATAAAATAAAGACAAAAAAAAATATACTAAAGCTCTTTAGTTTTGAGAAAGCCCTGGATATTTAAAAGCAGACACATTTGCTGTATGCAAAGAAATGTTTAAAAACTGTAACTCTTGGGAAGAGTGCCTGAATCCAGCCCCCACATAGTGCTAAGAAATGGAAGCAACCTAAGTGTCAAGTGTCCCTCAGCTAAGGAGAGGATAATGAAAATGTGGTACATTTACACAATGGAGTTCTACTCAATGGTAAACAAAGACAAAATCACATATTTGCAGGTAAATGAATGGAACTAGAAACTGTTATATTAAATGAAATAACAGACTCAGAAAAACAATCAATGTATGTTCTCCCTCATTTGTAGATCTTAGCACCAAATCCTTATATGTGAATATATATCATGATGTAACTGCAAGAGCCAGACCATGGAAAGATACCATGGAGGAAAAGGAAAGGAAAGAGCCTAAGAAAGGAATAGTAAGAGAAAAGTGTTACTAAGGGGGAAATGGGTAAAACCGGGGTATTTAAATGGGAGGGGGCAATGAGAGTTATGGAACTACGGGGGTAAAGGGGAAGAAGGAGCTCAAGAGAGGGAGGATCATAGGACAGGTATTATCAGGGGAGAAATGGGGAAAATGGGAGTACTTTAACTGAGAAGGGAGGAGGGCTAGACTGGGAGAGACAGGACAGACGAATAATGCCTAACTAGTGTAAAAAAACAGAGGGAATTATATTACTTCAAAAACCTACTAAAAAATTACACATACAATGAGTCCTTTGTGTATAACTGAAGGCTACATATCAAGAAACAGTGCCAGACAGGAGAAACCTCCCTTTAAGTTGTTGGCCAGGGTAGTCCAAGAGACTCCCAAAATTAGAGACTATTGCCACAGCCCCTTGACTGCCTCCCAGAACTTGAAGGTAAGACCCTATTGGTGAACACAGGACATACTTCAGACACGGGACTTGGAGCAATGGAGCTGGAACTGACCTGGTCACCACCACCTTGAAGGCTAGCTCTCATAGTTTTGGAGAGCACTATGTAAGCTGCTAAAGTAGAACACCAATCAAAGGTCTAAGCCCAGGGTTAAGGGCTAATAATCACAACAAACACAGCAAACTATGTTGGTAGTAGTAGTACTTTTATCTTGGGGGTAATCCACAGCTACCTATTCGGACCTAAAACCCACTCAATGGGAGAAAACACAAGTATGGTACTATAAACATAGCCAACTGCATATGGCTGGAGAGGTCATAGATTTTAGAGAAAACCCTAAGGCTGTCACATCCCTAGACAAATGTAATTTCTTACTATGTGCTAAATATGGATCCTTGTATTTACAGATAAGTATTCAAGACACCAGTCATCAAAGAAGCTCCTTTTGTAATAGAGATTATTACAGAGCTCCACAACTGGTCACACACAGAGATTAAGTGTCTGTGAAATATCCAGCCCTAAATGATACATCTACAATGGAACCTCTATACCTAAGGCTCTTGGGGCTTTGCTCATATAAACTTCCAGCAATGGTGACAGCATGCACAGGACCCATGCAAACTCAAGCAGACAAAAACCCAGCATAGAACTGTGGAAATGGGCAGCAGGTCCCAATCTTAGCCAAAGAACTACTGGGCAGATGATTGCTACTGGGTGAGGAAGAGCTGGTCTTCTTTAAGGGAGTGACTCTAGATAGACTGGATGAACTTGCACTGAGGGACATCAGGGGACTTGACTCAATAGACCTTAACACAAATGACAGAATGCATGAAATCCAGTGGGGGGCTATGGGAGGGTGTCAATGGGGAAGGTGGTATAAAGAGGACTAAGATGTTGTGTATGAAATACACAAAAATTCAATTAAAATATATTTTTAAAAAAGAATATATGGAAGAAAAAAAAACTGTAACTCTTGATGGATGTATAAAATAATAAGATCTAACTATATATTGCCTCCCAAAGGCTGACTTTAGGCTTAAGAACACACATCAACCAAAAATGAGGGAAAAGAAATGGAAATAAAAACCAAAATAGAGTGGGGAAGGGGAGTGCTAGAGTTTGGATCTGAAATGTCCCCCCAAAGAAATTTGTACTGTAGGCCCCATCCTCAGCTTCTGGCATAACTAAGGCTTTAGGAGGTAGCACTTAGGGGAAGGAAGTTGTGTCAGCAGAGGGTGTGTGCCCTTGAAGGGGACTATAGGAATCCCACTTTTGTCTCTTTCTCTTTCACACCCATCTTTGAAGAGTGTAGGCTTCCTCCTCTCCACATTCCCACCAGGATGTTCCCAAAGACCATGAGCCAACTGGTCATAGAGTGAAATCTTCAAAACTGTGAATCAAATAGAACTTTCCACTCTTTTAATGTCAACATCTCAGGTATTTTGCTATGGTGACAGAAAACTAAGTAACATAGGAGCCACACTTTTATCAGACAAAATAAAGTTTAAGTCAGAACCTTACTAAGCCAGGCACGGTGGCTCATACCTATAATTCCAGTACTTGGGAAACTGAGGCAGGAGGAACACAGTTAATTCAAGGCCAGACTGTTACATGGTGAGTTCATTCCAGCCAGAGCTACAGGGCAAGTCTTTGTCTCAAAAAAAAAAAAAAAAAAAAAAAAAAAAAAAAAAAAAAAAAAGCCAAAAACCTAGGCAGTTAGGATAAAAAAGACCCCAAAGAAAATAGCCAGTTTCTTGGCTAAAAGTCAAAATGTCCTTGGGCCTTTTAGCAACATACTCTCTTCCAAAGGCCAAAAATGTCAAAAGTATTTGGGAGCTCTTATCTAATCCCTAAAAGATTTTAGGGATTACCTCTTCAGAGGGGGGAATGTTAGAGTAGCAAAAAGCCCTATTAGAAAAGGAAAAGAAAGAGAGAGAGAGAGAGAGAGAGAGAGAGAGAGAGAGAGAAAGGAAGGAAGGAAGGAAGGAAGGAAGGAAGGAAGGAAGGAAGGAAGGAAGGAAGACGAAATTGTCAGAAAAAAGTGATGGGGAGATATGGGAGGTATTGGAGGGGAGGGAGTGGGCATGGATTTAATTAAAACACCTATATGCATGTATGAAATTCTCAATAAAGTTTTTTTAAAGGTTAAAAAAAAAACACAAAAAGTACACTTCGTAGTGACAAAGGGGTCAATTCACAAGGAAGTTATAGCAATTATATATGAACCCAACATCAGAACACGAAGACAAATGAAGCAAACATTGACAGAAGTGAAAAATAAAGATAATAACATTGGGAGATTTCAACATCCCGCTTTTCATAATAGAGACAATACCCAGATGGAAGAGGCCTGCAAGACACATGTGTAAAACACCACCCAATAGACACAGAACAGCACACCTTCTCAAGTGCACACCAAACACGTGCCAGAGCAGATCATGCTATGTCACAAAATGTGGGAATGACTTCAGGGCAAAGGAATTATACCTAACCAAAAGGTTAGCCTTATGATCTGAGATCATTTAACACTATCTCAGCTTGCTTAAAATGTAAAACAAGATTTCTAGGCCTTGGGCTTCTCTTGTAACCTAAACATAGAGCTTTAATCCCTCAAGGCCTTTCCTTGCTCTTGAGCCAGAATAACGTGTGTATGTATGCATACATGTGTTCTTTTGTGAAAATATTAAGTGCTGTACACGGTGACTATCCATTGGAAGCAATGAGAATTGTCCCATTTGTGGAACAAACACCACCTGGGATTATATTGATAACATCTGTTTGCGGCTATGTATACTGTTCTAGATTAGTTGGGATCAGAAAGGGCAAATAGTCTCTGATAAGACAAATCCTTCAGTTTTTTCTTCCCAATTTCATATTGGGTATATTGTTTTAGATAGAGGAATGTCTTGTTAGCGAGCACAATTCTGGGAGAAATCTAAAGGAGCAGGTTCTCAAAGCAGTTCTGATCCACTCTTGGTTGAAACGGATGCTAAGAGTCAGGCTGTCTTGATTCAGGCATCACCATAATGTGGCATCACACACCAAAACAAAACAACTCTTAAATTTAGGAAGACTGGGCTAGAGAAATGACACAGAGGTTAAGAGCACTGGCTGCTCTTGCAGAGGACCCGGGTTTGATTCCCAGAACCTACATTGGGGGCTGACAGCTGCCCATAACTCCAGTTCCCTCTTCTAACCTCCACAGGTGTTGCACAACATGGGTGCACTTACATACATGCAGGAAATACACTCACACACATAAAATAAAAATAATAAAGCCAGATGTAGTGGCACACACCTTTAGTTCCAGCACTTGGGAGGCAGAGGCAGGCAGATCTCTGTGAGTTCAAGGCCAGCCTGGTCTACATAGTGAGTTCCAGGACAGCTGGGGCTACAGGGAGACCCTGTCTAA